ACCCCAGGAGCGCCTAGACTGCCCCGCTGCCCGAGCCCCTCCGCAGCTTTGCTCTGCGTCTTCCTGGTCTGCAGACCAGGGAGACGCAGAGCAAAGCCCCAGAGTACACGGGCGGCAGGACCGCGAGGTCCCGCAGTCCATGTACTCTGGGGCAGCCCCATTCGTAACTGCGGATCCGACGTAAGTCGGATCCGCGTAAGTTGGGGACTGCCTGTACCCCCTTGCTAATGCTTTCTCTCCCTATTTACCAGTCTTTGTCTCTTGTTGCTTTCCCCCCACTGTCCCATCTCCTCCACTTTACTAGTAAAACCAGCCTCCATATCTCATTTGTCTGCTTCTCATACTGCCCTCCACATTGCTGTCTAGAAATGGAACACCTCTCCTGGCATAGGTGTGCAAAACTTTCACACTCTTCTCATTGAAACCCCTTCAGAAAATACATTTTCCTGCACCAGCTAAATGAAAGTAATTAATTTAATAATCTACTGTTCTAATTTAATTTATGTAATTAAACTAGTAATTTGTTTGGAGGATGGCACGGTTTAAGGACAGTGAAAATGAAGGGGAAAAAAAGACAAACCAGTATGAAACGCATAGGCCATGTGTCTGTCATTGAGCTGGCCACTTCTACTTGTATCTCATGTTCCTCTGCCATGCCCTACTTCTGTCTTTGTCTCTTCAGATTTTAACCTCCTTTAGGGCAGAGACTGTTGTCTTCAAAAAAAGACACCGGGCACATTTCGTTACCACAATCTATATACAAAGAAATGTCAGACATTAATAATTGGAACCCGCTACTGAACACTCCAATTAACTTAGTCCAACGAAAGTTTCCATTGATGACTAGGGACTGGGGATGCGTGGGCTACCTTAAAAGGGGCCTGAGCCTTTTTAAGGTGCCTTGGGTTTTGTATGTTTGTACAATTCCTAGCACGTGGGGACCAACGTAGTTGATGCCTTTAGGTGCACTCTCAATATAAATGTTAAATTCAACTAATAAATAGAAGAACAAAAATACAGTAGTAATCACTGTCATTAAAGATTTTTAAAAAATAACACCTGTGGGCGGAGCTGAATTGATGGTTTAGATTAGATGTATGTGTCATCTTGCTGCAAAATTCAGAACAACATATTCTAAGGCTCACTGCAATAAGTTGCCTCCTCAACTTCTAGAGCATGAAAGCTCTGTCACTCTCCTGTGTTCTTCAGCTGCAAAATTGAATTTTCTTTTAGAAAATTGTAACGATGATCTTGTTTACCAATGGCACAATCCCATTTTAGGTAAGCTGCCCACAACTATTCTTTTCAGACTCAGGGACTCTTAAAGTTTTAATGCAGGAGGATGCTTTTGAGGAGATGGGTGTCGAAGATGGTGTTGGTCATCCGACCAGACTTCATCTGGATAAACTGCCTGAGCAGACTGGGCAGTTTAGGCAGAAATTTCATTTAAATGTTAAATGCTGGAAACTTATTCAGTTTAATAGAGCTGAAAAGAAACAGACATCTGTTGTGAGACTCGATCCTGGGAGCACGTTATTTTAAACCCTATAAATGCATGCCTTTATAATAAAAAAAACTAGGCAGGGCAGTGTCCTCAAGAACATATTTTAGGGGACAGTCTTGCGTTAAGGGGAAATGGGCAGAATGATATAACAGATATTTTCCACCTCAAATTTCCATGATGCTTGGAAAGTAATAATTGTGGGGCATAATTCAGGGAGAAGAGAACAATAAATAGAGAGATGGGCATACCATGTGTGGAATGATTGATTGAAGTTCTGTTTGGATTTAATGATCAAAGAAATAAACCATATTTTTACAATACGACGCTTTCTTTAAACAAAGCCTCCAGTCTAGTGCTGTGTTAGAAAGGAAACAGAGCCTGACTCATAGAAAGCTGAGATCACTTCTTGGATTACATGAATGTGAATATTTAAAGCTGAGGCTATGAAGTGTTTCTTACTGTGCTGTGAATGAATCACTGACACTGACAGGGAGAAACTAAATAATACATGATAGGAAATAAACCCTGTTATACGAATATTCATTATTTTACCTAATTTTGTGTTTCTCATTTTTGTCTTCCTTCCCCTTTACTCCTCCCTCCCCTTTCTCCCTCCCAGGGTAAATGGGAAGTTGGTGGCACTGAAGGTGATTAGGTTACAAGAGGAGGAAGGAACTCCATTTACAGCTATCAGGGAAGGTATGCATTCGTGTTTAATGATTATTCATGTTTTTTTAATTGCATTGCACTCATTCTCTTCAATGCCATACTATACTGAATAGCTTGAGATTTTAAACTATATGATTATTTCCCCTGTAGGTAGGAGATGGCTGTGATACTTTAAAAATCAAAACCTCCCTACAATGTGGGAGTTCATGTTTAATAAAACAAATCTGTGCCTCTGAGGTTTGGCTTGTCTGAGAACTGCTTTTGGGTACGAGTGACATACTAAGTAGAGTGTGTTTTTTGGGGGAGGGGTGGGGAGGTGCAGCTATTACTGGTACAGGTTGGACCTCTCAGAGCCAGGACTCCCTCATCTGGCAGCATCGGACAACAGGTATTCCTGGACCAGGGAGTCCTGGCTGGGAGCCCCAGTGGCAAGAGGGCTGGTGGCTCAGAGCCCGCTGGGGCTGGGACCATTGCTGGAGCCCTGGTAGCGCAGCAGGGGCTGCGGCAGCCCCAGTAGCAGGGCTGGGGACGTAGCAGCTATAGCAGATCCAACAGCTGGGCTGGGGCTGGAGACGAGGAAGCCCCTGTAGCCAGGTCTGGGGGGCCGGGCCATAGCAAAGTGGCAGCATAGTAGGGAGGGCGACTGGTGCTGGCAATAGGGAGGAATGGCAGTCTGGGGAGCCGGTATCAGGGGACCTCCTCTGGTCCGGCAAATTCCCTCCTTCAGACCCAACCTGTGTAATATGTTGGGGAAATTTTCTTGTTGTGAATCAGCACCTAAATAAGATGGAGTTCACTTTTTGCTTTGATGTGGCCATGCTCATATAGAACACATGTCTGCATTTGTTTTGTCTGTGAGAGATATGTAGGTTCAGGGACAAATATAGAAAGCTCCATAAAAACAAGATTCATTATTATCTTTTTAAAAGAACTGGCTGTTTATGCTTTTGGTTTGTCTGGCTCCCCACATATCTCTGGACTGCCTGGCTTAAGAATGACTCTCTTCTTCCTGAGAGTCAGAGGTCTGTCTCATGCTTTCTGCTTGGCTGCTACAAGTTCCTTTGCAGAAGTTGCTTTGCGTGCCTTTTTTAAATAGGCCTGCTCTGTCCGGGCTTCAGCTTTCTGCCCAGGGCCCCAAGGATTCTAATGTTGGCCCTGATATCTGGTTTATTTTGGCAAATCCCCTGAAATCTGTTTTTGGCCCCCTCCAGAACACCCCAGACCCCTAGCTGAGAACAGCTGATCTAAAGTAGTCTTGGAACTCGGGTCTGGGTCTGCACTGAGTTATAGTATATCAGTTAAGAGTGTGACTTTAACCAATATGAGTTGAAAGGTGCCTTTTGCATGTGTAACTTGCTTTCCTTCACAAGCCAGAATAAGTTATACTGATATGAGCATTTATACTGGTAAACTGTGAGGTGTGTTGCAACTTTAATTATATTCCTATATATATTTAAAGCAGGAAACCTTTCTGGGATAGAGGAGCCCCACTATCAGCCTGACTTGAAATACTTACTCTAAAGCCGCTATCTAACAATTCATGTACTCATGCATAAGGCTTGAAGAGTGAGCACTTGCCTGATTTTAATGGGACTTCCTACATGGTTCAAATTATGTGTGTTTTTGAAGTGCTCTTCTTTAAATTGCAGTCTTTACTGGGACCTCATCCAAAGCCCCTTTAAGTCAATAGGACTATTCCTATTTTCTATGCAGTAGAACAGTGGTCCCCAACCTTTAGAGGCTGCCGGGCGCCTGGGGGCGAGGCCGCTCACTTTGCAGCCTCGCCAGTGCCCCTCTCCCCGCTGACTCTGATAGAGGCAGCAGCGCCGGGGCAGGCGGGCGGGGG